ACATTTCAACAATCTTCTTTTTAGGCATGGGGGCTCGGATCCGGGCGACCTCTTTCCTCAACGTATACACATATTCGTGATAGCTTTCAATGGATTTCTTCTTAATTCTCTCCAAAGAATATCGATTGGCAATGATCTCAACATTGTAGACGAATCGTTCGATAAATTCTCTAGCTAGTGTATTCCAGCTAGACCATTGCTTTTATCTTATGAGAGGCAACACATTCTAACGCTTCTCCACTAAAACTTCGGCTAAAGATCAATATTAACAATGCTTCATTCCTTTCAATTCCTAAGAGTTGGTTACAGTAGGCTGTCAGGTGTGCCAATGAATTTCTATTGCTCCAAAAGTTTCATATTTTACTACTTTGAACCCTTTCGGGAGGTTGATATTCGGATGGATGAACAAATTCTCATAACTAAATGCATCAACTTCAGGAATATAGTGCAACTCCTTCATGGATTTCCTTATCTCTTCTTTTATTCATCTTGGATTGCTCTTCTTTTGACCTCCACACTTTCTCATGTTCCTCATAGCGATCATGCTTGGAACAGTGTGCACAAGTTTCATTTGGAATTGAAATTTGAAAAGTAGCATTTTAAGGCAATGGTTGAGCAATGGAGGGATTCTGGGTATTTTTAGTGCTTTGTAATTTTGGGTGAAAGTCTTGGGGTTGGTATGTTGATTTTAGTGATGGGGGAAGGTTTGTGGGTTGTGAATCTTTTGATTTTGAGGGGGAGGGAAATTTTGTGGGTTGACATTTTGATGAGGAGGGATGGTTTGGGGGTTGGTATCTTGAGGAGGAGGTGGCACTTTGTAAGAGCCGAAGGAATAATAAAGATTTGGGGTGATTAGGTTGATGATTGGGGATTTTAATTGGGGTTAGCTGGTGTGTTTTTAACTTGTTCTACGCTTCGAGAATGAAAGTGGAGCGGAGATCTTCCATCCCCGTGAGGATTGAAACCAAAAATTGGATTACACAAATTTCACATTTTTTGCATTTCATCCCTCATTTCGTAAATATGTTTCATTAACTGCATAACTAATTCATTTTGATCAGTGGCGGAGGGTTGAACCATGACAACATCAGTCAGGCCAATTTTGTCATTGTTATTACCCATTACTATCCTTTTTTTTTTGCAAACATTGATCTGGGAAGGAAGCTAAGATCTTGTGAAATAAGGATGACCAGTCAGTCTTATCGACACAAATAAGTTCTAAGTACCTGACCAAGAAAAATGACTCAAAATATAAACATGTTAGTCTATGTAAATGATAAATAATAAAAAATATGACACATATAAGCATAAAGACATAAAAGTTTCTCCACTTGAATATAAAATAGCCCACGTATTTAGTGAAATAAATAAACAAACATGAATTTGTCTATCTTATTTTGAGCTTAGTGAATCAGAAACGTCAACTTGAGTCAAAACAAGTAGATTGTATCTTTCGTTGCCATATTTTCCAATGGATATGAAAATCTTTCCTCGCAAGTGTAGGGAAACATAAAATTTCTCAATATGGGGACTGAACCTTGAATGGGTGCCTACATATCTCATAAAATAGAATTCAGGTCTTGCGTAGTTCGACGCACTTGAATTTCTTTTGATGTCGAGATGGAAAATTGACCTTTTTATAATACGAGAAAGTAAGATTTGAAAAATTGAAGTTTGAATTTTTGTTTGGAAACTAAAGACTCGAAGAGCATTGGACGCACTTTTTATAGTTACTCGATATCTGTGCTTAAAGAGTTTTATAAAATAATATTTTTTTTATCAAGAATGATAGGGCTGGAACATCTTCAAATAAATCAACATAATCATACAAACAATTATAACATAAAAACATTGTGTGTCACAAATAAATATGTGACCCTTTTGTGCCAGGGGTAGAGCTAGCAATTTGAGGGATTCATAAGTCATTTGAAATATTTCATTGCCCCAAAACCCAAATTTATACAAATTTTAAGAATAAAGATGAATGGGGATACATAATAGGGTAAGCGGGATTCATAATAACCAGTCCCACGTAGGGGTACGACCCTAAACTATGCCTCCACGTAAGGTCCTTCTTCTTTCTTGATTTTTTGCTATCTCTGGGTGTCAACGTCTTTGGATGGATTAGTATCTTGTGAAGCTATATCTTCAACCTAAATAAACTATAATCTAATCCTTACCCTATGAGACAATGATTTTGCAAACGTATACATCCTTTAACTTTAAACACATAAATATGAATGTTTGTGTAGGTCGTGAGTCGTTTTGGACTTAAGGTGGTATCTTTAATGGGCCCAACACGCCTTGGGTGTTGGGTCAACTTAGTTCAATGCGCTAAAAGGGATTTGTCTTCGCTCTACACTAGTCAATTAAGAGTTTGTTTAGAAATGACGGTTACCCGAGTCAAACAAACACCCGGGTGAAGATTAATAAACGACATTTGTTGACCAAAAGCCAACTATTCATTTATCACTTCCAAAGAATTCGACTTGTATTTTTTGTGAAGGACAGTCGTGGTAAGCCACGTAACAACCTTTTTTTCTGATGCAATCTATTTTCCATCTAGCGGAATCGGATGCCATGAAATGCGATATTTTAATAATATAACATATAAAACAAATAAACAATTAAACATGTATAGCCAAACAAGTAGATTTTAAGGTTAGAACCATTCAATTCACCGGCAGAGTCGCCATTCTGTTTTATTCAAGAAAATATTTGTGTTTAGAGTTGTTTAGAGTCGCCACTTAATTTATAGAAAAATTAAAAAAACCGATTTTCAAAGGATAAAAATAGTAAATAGATTGAAAATCTTTAAGGGGGGTTCGGGAGAAACGTCGTAGAATGGTTTAAAAAGAATCTAAGACGCTCGCTTACTTGTTATTATCCAACAATTAAAGTGTTTGGATAAAATGTTTAACTCGATTCAAGTTTATTTGAAATCATTATAAAAAAGTGATATCAAACTTAATTATCTAAGTGAGTTTTCACCTTGAGAAATTTATTTCTTCAAGTCTATTTAGGGTTGACGGATTTAAATTAAATAGTTAATACATAATGGCGTCTCGCGGGGATTTTTAATTTTTCGACCCTAAGACTAATGACAATTAATAACAAGGAAATATGAGGGAAAGTAAAAGAGATAAAGAAATTTGTATCCAAATCCGGTTTCTAACCGCCTGGACCGGTATTTGGACCAATTTCATTTTGGGACATTTTCGCCCATTTCAATGGTACATGAGGAACTAAGAAGATAATAATACAAAATGACAAGGGCTTAGGCTCAAAAATAACAAAATACAATATTATTAAAAATAAATTGGGACTCTTTGGCCCCATCTCTCTGACTTCTTGGTCGGTACGTCGATTTTGTACGCTTGACTCGATGAAGGAATTTTAAGCCTTTATGAATCTTTTCGAAATGCGAGGAAACCATGGTTTATAGTGAACTCGATTGAGTTTTACATGCGAAAATGAGACAATGTAAGTAGTCATCCATTAATTTAATAAAGGGGAATCAACTAAAATTTGAACCAAGATGCTACAACTTTAAATATCGCATGTTAGTGCAATGAATAATTCTTTTTGAGTATGACAGAAGTCACAAACCAAGATATCAACCACATGGCCAAACATTGGTGCAAACAGGATTTTTAACTTATTCTAAAAATCCTAACAAAGAGTTGACTAGCAGGAGGAAACACAATATCAAAGGTGGAGACATAAATCAATTTTGCATGATAATTGCTTAAGATGCAAACAAGCAACCTAAAGAAATCATATTGTTATATTACAAAGTAAACTACAGTAACTTAACCAATAATGATAAACTACTCTAAATGATTTTTTTTCCACAAAAGAGATTAAGTCAAGCTCAAAATGTTGCAGCTAATCAAAGATACCAAATATAGTAAACATTTACACAGACAAAAGCGTACGAAAATCAAAGTTAATGTCAAATGCCTAACCAAACTGAGGTAGTAAGCGGGAAATAATACAAAGAATAAGATAAAGATTACAAACTATAAAATGCTGCCAACTCAAGTTAAAATCTAAAATTTTCAACCGAACATCAAATTGCATTAAGACGGAACCTCACGATGTGTGTATAACTACGTATATCTCAAGCTAGCATAAAAAAATTACATAACATGAAATGAACTATATGGCAGCTAATGGAAAGTAGCTAACTTACTCATGACCATTAAGACGATAAAAATCTATTGCGAACAAAGAGATTTCTAACAACTGACTATCGATGAGAATCGATATACAGACTCATACAACCCAAAACTAATCAAAAGGAAACAAGATAAAATCAACAAAGAAGAGAAAACACTCTAGCTCCACGAAATATGGAGCCCATTATGGTGTGACTAGAATAAGCTAATATTTTTCCAGCATACTTAACAATAATAATAATAAAAAAAGGAATGAGCATTGACTTTGAAAAAGAACATGAGCTGGAGTGAGAGGGAATCCTAAAAATCAACATGGACTCACATGTATTGCAAGACAAGAAACCTAGGAAGAGGGGCAAAGAAAGAAAAAAAACTATAACATGCTAACAAAAGAAAAACAACAATGAGTAGAAGAAAGTTGCAGCAAAACTCAACTAGAGAAATATGAAGAAGTTTGCAAAAACATAAACTTGATAACTCGATGAAGCAACTAAAAACATATGCATAATATCAAAAAATTAGGAATTAAACAACAAACTAACAGCCAACCTAACACCAAATAAAAGTTTTTTTTCAGATGTTTAAAGTTGTTTCAAGACAGAAGGAGAGGTAGGAAGACATTCCTTGTTTCGGGCAGCAAACAGGGACAGAGAGAGTGAGAAGAAGATCTTCCTAGCACTAGAACTCGACCACGAACGATGATCAAAGATTGAAGCAGAAAATGTAACCCAAACACTCAAAATATGGTATCCGCTATTATTCTAAATGTATTAAGTGTGTATTAATAGTATTTTTGCTCAAGCTTTCTTCACATTTTCTTGCTAGGTAAAAATCCAACTAAAAATTAACCAACTAATTAAAAATCTCCTCCCCCACAATAACTAATGAGCTGCAATTATATAAAAGGGAAAATCTAGGGGCCCAATAAATGGATGAGAGGCCCAATTCGAAATTCAAAACCTTTCACCAGTTAGTGGAGACCTATTTTTCTGAGTTTCCAAACCTATTCCGAAAGAGGAATGGGGGAAGCGGACAGACCCGATCGGCTCGATTATCCTTGAGTCGAGACGTGTTTTGGTCTCTAAGCCCCAAGGACAAAACACGTGACCTGCCGCCTGCGATGTGCTGACTTGAAAGGGACGCGGGAGGAAGAAGACAAGATGCCTGTTTTCCTCTGTTTCAACCTTTGTTGAATCTTTGTTATTGCTCTGGGAATTATACGCTGCTGGGTTCCTCTTGACGATAACATAGCTGGGTCGGATCGGATCAAGGAGAATTGAAGCGGGCTAGGAATAGGAGTGGGCTGACTGAAATATTTTTTTGGTAAATTTAGCTCACTACTAAAAAAAACCCAAATTATTTAGTGATACAAATTATGTTTTCTCTCTCATAGATTAAACATGTCAAAAATGTCATTATTACAAAAATAAAATTTTTTTTTGATACAAATTATGTTTTCTCTCTCATAGATTACACGGCCCCCTATGTTTCGGTGATTGACTAGATATTAAAGTCCTTTGATTATGCTATTTTCAATTTCTCTCTCTAATATTAATCCAAATCAAATATCCCTAGATTTTCAAATTCAATATATTTTTATTTTCGATTATTCTCCTTTAGTTTCGTTTCAAGATTGGATTTGAAGATTAACATTGATTTGGGTATTTATGTTTACCGTATTATTTATTATTTGCTTACTTATTTTACTTTTTTTTTTTAAAAAAATCTTTTTAATTTGACGTTGTTCTTAAAATCTCTTTTAGGGATTGATAATCCAAAATTCTCTCTTCAATGGATGATTTCCAGAAAGTTACTAGAGGTATTGGACAAAATAATCAAACTTTTTCTGATTTCTCATCGTTTAATCTTTTTTTTCAACTCAAGAAATAAACAACAATATAGGTTTCACTTCTAAATCTATGGAGGATAGACAACGGGGAAAATCCTACAAATATTCATAACGACGAATTTGAAGAAGACCAAATTGTTGGAGAAGAGGTATTTTATTTTTATGCATGTTCTGTGTCTTGCATGTTCAGTTGAATTTGTTTAGTAACTTTTAAGATTCAAATAAATTACATATTATAGTGCGTCTTTATTATTATAGAATAGATTTGGAAGTGTATATGGAACTTTGATTCTGTTATAGTCAGTATGTACTTTTGTATTTCATAGACTTATTGTATTTTGTATTCTGTTTTTTCTTGTGTTAGTTATGTCAATGTAACACATATTATGCGTTTGATTGTGTTATTTACTATTATAGAACAGATTTGTAAGTGTATATGGAATTTTGATTATGTTATAGTTAGTATTTATTTTTATTTTTCATAGATTTAATGTATTTTTTATTCATAGATTTGGAAGTGTATATGAAATTTTGATTCTGTTATATTTAGTATGTATTTTTGTATTTCATAGATTTAATGTATTTTTTATTCATATATTTGGAAGTGTATATGGAATTTTGATTCTGTTATAGTTACTATGTATTTTTGTATTTCATAGATTTAATGTATTTTGTATTATGTTTTTTTTTGGTTAGTTAATTATGTCGGTGTTGAGAGTTTTAGGCATCTATTACTTTTTAAAATTTTTATCTCCCCTAAATAGCTCCTATTTGTTATATAAATTCTGTATTTTTTTAATTAAACCAAATAATTAAAATATAATTAACATACATGATAAGGTAAAATTTTTACATTATCACTAAATATTGAAACTGTTGACACAATGCCCTATTAAATACTAAAATATTGACATTTTAAAAAAATTTCCTTATTTTCTGTCTGAGAATTAAATTGGACTGGGAACATTACAAATTGGAATTGAAATGGGTTGGCTGGAAAAAAAATGCATGGGGCTACTGCAAATATAAAAAAATCAGCCCAACAATGGTTTTGCAATTAAGTTAAGGAAATGATCATAAAAAATTCAAACGTAGTTAAATCGAATTGAAATTTTCACCGTATGAGTTAGTTGGTGCTTCAGCTAAAAAATCTAAATAAGGCGGATTAATAACAAATTAATTAATGATCTTCTTAACCTTAACGATACAAAATAATTAATTTAGCAAACTATAAACTAATAACTCGAAAAAATATGATTATAATTTAAATTAAACTAATTTAGTTTTAAAAAATACTTATAAAAATTAAAATCATTTTGAGATGATTTTTGGAATATTTATAAAATAAACAAATTATGTAAAAACATATTTATTATTAACAATTATAAAAACGACCAAACTTACTTCAAATACTTGAAAAGTATTTTAGGCTTTGTAAAACTAATTAATTTAAATCATTTGAAGTTTGAGAAGCTCGTTTATTTAGTATTGTGAAGGTCCAAAATTGGATGTCAACAAACATTTGTATATGGATGAGACAGACATTGTGACCTGATTCATGAGGGTTAATGTTTCAAAGCTCTGGGCGGAGGCACCAGTACCTCCTCCAACACTACCAATAACTTGGTTGAACTAATAGAAGTTTAACATGTGTAACTTGATATTGATATTGGTAATAGATATTTGAGTTTGAACATGTCCAACTATGATAGTGAAGATTGACGTGGTTGCCTGATATGAGTAGTTTAGAGAGGTAAATCATATGATACTTTATATTACTTTTCTTTCCTCGAAAGAAAGTAATTTCTATTTTAGTGCCACTTTTGGATGAGTCCTCTTCTCTTGACCGAAAGTACTCCATCTCTCTGTCTTTATAATTGGGGGTCATTTAAGATTCAATTTCATGTTTGATAGCTTTCTCCACTGAAACATGGATTTTATTAACATATCCTATGCAAACAATCTCTTCCTTCCTAACTATGTGCAATATTCGCTTCAACCGAGTGCTGGAGAGTCAAGATTAAAAGTGAGAGCCAAGTAAAAACAATCTGTCAGGGAAGACTATATCTTCCCAAACTAGTTTACACCCCGAACAAGTAGGTGTCGCAGTATCAGGAGTAACAACAAGAGAAAGATCCATCCTTAACGTGGATAGAGTCACACAAACCACTGCCTTCATTAAAAAATATGTTCTGGAAGATGTGTACCAAATTGTATGTGATGTAATTGTTGAATTAGACAAGGCATTTTGCACACATTTCAGAATTTGCTTTAGCCAATACAGGACACCCTTTTTGTAAACGGTGTAGAATGTGTACTCTATAAACGGATAGCAAATGATTGCGGGTAAACATAATGAGGATTGCAAGCTAAATATGAAAACATGTCTTTGTATTAAAACAAGGATATTGGGAGTTTCTCTGTTTGTTTTCTCTAACAATCTTTTTCCCCAATGGATTTTTACATAGTCAAACTCACTAATTTTTTCGGACTGATTTTCAAGATTGATAAGTGATTTTGCATACAACTTTAAAAGACAATCACACATTGAACAAATATTCAACACTTGGCCCAAAATCCCACAAGATGGCAAGGTATGCAACTTAACCATCCACAAGCAATTTGGTACTTTTTCTTGAATGTCAATTGAAGGTACAAAGTTTAATATTCCACTGCTTCATGGTTTCATCTAACTCTTTGTCACATTGGAGAAAAAGTCTTTATAAATTTTCACAGCTTTCATGAGAGCTAGAGGAATTCAATGGCTTTAATAATCAAGTGCATACTCAAAGTGGAATTGACTACAAATAGTTCCTAATCTCATAACATAAAAACTCATCCAATTTAGATAGTTCATAGTTTGCGGTTTATCATGAGAAAAATACAGACATTGAAAGATTTTACTGCAAGGCATTATGTAGGCCTTTGTGAAATTAGTAATTTTCCATCATTGTTTAGGTGTATACACCGACAGATTTATGATATTTTACAGTTGCAATTCAAAACCGAGTGTTCTCGGACAACATGCTGCCTGAAACTTTTATACACTCCTTTAGTTGTGCGTTTAAATGAGTTTATGAATGAAATATTATGCTAATGCACAAGTAGTTTTGTTGCCAAAAATCTAACAATAGTAGTATGCTCATTACTTAGAGAATTATTAAGTTCCTACTATTTGAAAACTTTATAGTATCCTCATTACTTAGAGAATTATTATGTTGCTACTATTCGAAAACTTAGTAATAAAATGAATCTCTCTTTCACAGGAATGCGCTAGACTATTAGTCGATGTATCTGAGTAGGTTGAAAGAACACTTCACGAGTAACTATTTGGTTGCCTATTCTTGTGAAAAATTGTGTGAGGTTTCTATGAAACCTATCTACGAAGGTAAAATTTGTTTATTATCGTTATTATTTTAATAAATGTAGTATGCTGCTCTCTTTGCCTTTCCAGAAAGACTAAATTAAATTTTAGCACTATGACAGGTAGGAATACTTATGACTTGTTTTTACTAATGACAATGAAATTAATTTTGTGCAGATAGATAAAGGTATATAATAGACCAGAAGAAAACGTAATTGGCAGTTATCTATGACTCTTCATATAAAAACAATTAAAAGATAAAAATAATAGTTATAAAACTTTCTGTACAATTGTTTTTATTTTTTTAACCTGCTCATGTTGAAAGTTAAAATAAAATTGATGTAATCATCTCTCTCTCTCTCTCTCTCTCTCTATATATATATATATATATATATATATATAAAATTCATCCGACTAAATAAAAGATTTCTTGCTTCCAAATCAGGGTGTTTGGCTCTATAAAATATCAACTCTCGAAATCCACTACAAATTTACAGTAGCTTGGTCTAGGATCCCAAGAACGGGAAAACAGAAATTAGATGTCTCAATACAAATGGACTTCCTCTCCTTCAGATTCTCTTCCTCAATTTAACATTAATCCATTGTTACGTCTGTTTGTGCGTGTGTGTCTATGCATATGTGTGTGTGTGTGTGCATGTGTGTGTGTGTGCGTGCGTGTGTGGAAGTGTCCTTTGTGCATGTGTGCATGTGTATGCGCTTGTGTGTGAGCGTGTGTACGTGCGTGCGCGTATGTGCGCATGTGTGAGTGTTTGTGCGCGTGTGTGCATTCATTTTGTGGGTGTGCGCATGTCTGCGTGTGCGTGTGTGTATGCGCGCATGTGTGTGTGTTTGTTTGTTTGTGTGTGTGCGTGCATGCGTTCGTGTGTGTGTGTGTGTGGTCATTTACTCATGAGTAAAGAATTGAATAATAATGGTGGAGACTAACAGTAATATAATAGATGAACTAGAGAATTATTTTATTATTGCAGAGTAATTATTTGATGAATGACCGAAATTTTTTGCTGAAGAAGGGGGTCTGATGATGAAAAATCGAGATATTGGAATGGAATAAATTTATTTATTCTTATTTTAACTCATGTAATTTAAACTTTGAAGATGGAAAAAATAATTCGCAATCTAAGACTGTCTTTTAAGGTTTTGATGGTAGAAAATATTTAATATTATTTAAGACCTAGGTATAAAGATTTACAATTTTTTAACTTTAGATGATATTTGAGATTAGGAAAGTTAGTGAACTTTCCAAATTGGATTAGGAAAGTCAGTTAGCTTTCAAAATTTGGATTAAGAAAGTCATGCCATGAGGGTAACATGCATCATCATACTTATCACATCGCACACAGAACATAACATCTTACACATAGCACATATCATAGAGCATATAGCACATAACATCTTTCATATCATTCATTCATATGCCATGAGACCTTAGAATCATGGATTTAACATTAAGACTTTCAAGAAATAAGGTCTCAACTATAAGTTTGTGTACGTAAGAACACAACCATAATATGTTATTTCTGAACCTCATATGAGTCAGGACTACATTGTACACACATACACCTTTTTGGAAAACATAAATTGTCATTCATACGATTCAAAACACACATTCATGAACATATTCAACACGAGAACACATTGCATGCCTAATATATACTAGCAAACATACCCAACCTATGAATCAACAGGAGCTAGTGACAGGGACATGCAATGGGAACAATCCTAGTTTTTGGATTAAAATTGACTTAATCTTAAGGGTCTCTTAGGAAAGGGACCAAAAGAGAAGAGAAACCATACCTTTTATGGGACCTCCACTAGGGAGTCTGCTTTAGCAAACACAGAGTCTGCTATGTTCATTCATACGTACTCCATTTCATTTCATTCATGGACCAGTGTAAACACCAGCTATACCTAGGATGTAGTTTAAGACTTTCATCGAGTTCGTTGTGCAATACATTCACCCTACCAAGGAGGTCCTCTAGGACTTCCTTTCAATGGAAGAGGATTGGTTAACCACTTTTCTACGGATGATTTCATGCTGTTCTAGCCAACCAAACTTATGTTTATCATTCATATAAGGATGATA